CGAGATTTTAATCGCGTAGTAGCATGGTATTCCTTTCCTGGAAACTGTGCAGAAGTTATGCAAGCTAAGGCACCGAAGCTCATACATCACTCTGCTTCCAGGCTGTAAATACGACACGCCTTATAACTTTTAACAACGAGATGGCAGACACATACTGGGTGGGCGGATTCGACTTTTCTCGGCACGATATACCACCTTGATGTCCTCTATGTTCCACGTGCCTAGCTTGCGTTGACCCTGTCGAATACACACACGTATCAATTACCACGATATATCTGCGAGCGATATATGCCATGTATAGCCACTTCATCTGCCATCCAGATGAGACGGATACATCTGCTGCTGCCATCTACGGGCGAGAAATGAAACTCACGTCAGCACTCTTGTAGATGGTGAGCTGGCGTTGCTGAATTCGCAGAGGCTTTACGAAACTGCTTCAGTCTATCCCGCGGCCGTAGAAGATCTCACTGAACAGCGAAAAACGGCTGCTCCGCCTTGGCTGAGCAAATGCAGAAACAGTGCATCAACGAGATATCGAAACTAAAACATGCTCTTCGTGTTTGCCAATGCTGGGCTTGTGATTTTACCAAGAGCCTCCAACTAAATTCTAAGGTGGGCTGCATGGTGTCTACACCCTAGTAACTCATCCTAATAATCAAGAATTGTTGTGAACAGTAAACCTGGTTAATCTAAAACGAAGTCCAGCTACAACTAGGGCAATTGTTCAATCTAGGTGCTATGACTACCCTAATTAGAACCCAATACACAAACAAATGGAATAAACAATACAGTATCGTGGTGTAATAAAGATGCGGAAAGCTGCGAGACAAATAAGCCTAGCACATGTCTTCAGTTCTTACGAGATTCAGAAACGCCCTATAGAGAGAGTTGGGCTTGATGCAGAGGGCGTTACTCTCGAAACACGGAAACTGTGAGTGCTGGAGGCAACCTCAAACACTCTCTCTGCATAATGTAGAGGGCGCTCTGAAAAGCAAAGCAAACTTTTTCTATTACGAAAAGGTGAAACGTATTTGCGCGTAAATTCGTAATTATTCTTCATGTTCTTTCTTCTCATTTTTTCAACTAAGTACTATTATTTTCCAATCATAATCATAAACGATTGTTATCACCATCACATTATCTTTGTTTATGTTGTTTTTACAATATTGTAAGTAACCGTGGTAGCGTGTTTGAGTTATCTGTTTGCGTAAACACGTGATACTCACGTAGATCTTGGTTACAGATGATCTCGTAAACTGACCACTTGCTGTGGGTCACCTGACAACCATTTTCTGTTAATAGCAACTCGACGATCTCTTGAGCCGTTTGTAGTTTGACACCTACAGAACATCAGAAAATAATGGTCACGTACACATTTCCACAGCCATGTACCAAGTAAAGTGCATCACTTCCTTCAATATATGTACTATTGTATGTACATAACTGTCATGTCGATAACGTCCAGCCTATATGCATGCAATGTATGCATTTCTACATCTAACAGTAGTCTGTAGTTTGGTAGCACGCAAACAATACAAATATAAAAGGAAAATAAATCAATAGCTCACTTGTATGTTGTTTGATTCTCCTTCCAGGTTGTGAATGAAAAATGGAATGTGGAAGTTTCCCGCATTTTGAGCTTTCTGCAACAGACGTCATAATTTTGAATTAATCACCGGTTATTTTCAATCCAATTAAATAAACACGCTGCACTAAAAGTAAGCAACAGTAGTAATTTACTAGATATGACACTATGAACCATGAATGATGATCACATCCTCTAGCATTATCATTAGAATATTCATGGGATCTCGTCACACGATTTTAGACTTGCTGGCCACGCCCCTCATATTTCCACACTATCGTAGCAAAGGCCCTAGCTGCTGCTATAGCCCACCACGCTCTGTAACTGCTGCAGCTCTCCATCTTCTGGCGAATTATCATGTCCTTTTGATTTCATTGGGATCCACCTGTTGAAGGTTCGCGATAAGGTGCCATTTTATTCTTAAAATCACTCGCACAATATGATGAAATCTGGTGATCGTACGAGGTAATTATGAGAAGGTAATTATGCAATGCACACAGAAATGGTTAGCAACATCTAGCACTAAACTTAAAATATTATAAACACATGCATATGTATAATAACATTGCTATACATATACATATTATATATGTATGTTACGCAATGTTATTCACACTACTGCTTGCTGGCCAATACCTCAAACAGTATCTATAGTGAGAGATCAAATCCATGACAACAACAAGTTCTTGCTTATCGGAAAGTGCTCGTCCTCCTGCAATGTTCAATGATGCAATTCTTAATTATCATTTGTGCAATCAATCCGAATCATACCAATAAAGGCAGCAGCTGTAAGTCATGCTACAAACTGGCTGGCCTCCACTAAAGATGGCCGCCTTGAAATCGCTATAGACTACAGTAGGTCACTCATGATTCATGTGTGTGTTTTACACATGCTTTTAGGATAAGTTAGTGTTATGTCTCTTTAGAGTACTGCTCTCCGTCCATCTGTCTGTCCTTCTATCTCGTGCACTCTCTCACCCTACTTTCTCCCCTTCTCTCCCCCTCTCTCTCTCTCTCTCCCTCCCTCTCTCTCTCTCCATCTTTCACCCTCACTCTCTCGCCTCTCTCTCTCTTCGCTCTCCACTCTCTCGCTCTCTCTCCTCTCCTCCTCTTTCGACCTCTCGCTCGCTCTTAGCCAATCAATGTATGTCATCAGCTCTTGTTTCATGCAATCTCGCGAAAAAAGAAAGGTTTGCCATCGATACAGTATCTCAGCGGAGACACAAGATTGCGGACACGTCGTACCTTGCCGCATGCTCATGATGGTGGCGGAAAACACGACGGCTAGGTTCGTGACGGTCATGTGATTGCTGTAGCAGTTCGACACGATACTGAAACACAGACGGGTACGCGTGCACACAGCACGGCGGCGTGAGGGCTGGTTGACTCGGCCACCTCGGACACAATGCTCATGTGTACGGGTTTAAGGGCTGGGTGTGTGAGCTTGCCAGTATTGAGGGTCGAACAAATGCTCATATGTCACGTTAAGGGCTGGGTTTGTGAGCTTGCAGTATTGACAGTCGAACAATATTGCTCATATGTACAAGCTAAGGGTGTGGGTTGCGAGTTTGCAGTATGACAGTTGAACAAATGCCTCATATGTACAAGCTAAGGGGCTGGTTGCGAGTTTGCAGTACTGATACTCAAACAAACACGAGCATCTGCACTCGTTAAAGACTTGTACACGCAGTTCGCAAATTTTGCAGCAAGGACAGTTGCATTACGAGGGTGTATCTTGCACATACAGTGGCACGTAAACAATGTTGTGCGCTACATGGGTTTTCACCGAGCCGGGACCTCTCTCCACTGTTAAGGTGACAGAGTAACTTCTTCAACGTCTGGTAGTTGATCTCCGACAGTTCGTTAATGGATGCTCGTTGTATTTCGACAGCTTGCACTCTCCCGGCAACCTCTGCGATAGAAAACGCGAAAACAACATTAGTGTGCCAAACGTCGATAGCGGTGGCAGCACCGATCTTCAGTAGTCTGATTAACCTAGTCGCTACCCATTTGAAATAAACAGCCTGTTGCATGTAGAGGCTACCACACAACGCGCACGGTAGAAAGTCTACCGCGATGCTGGCGCCACCTGATGTCTGCATCCACAGCTGATAGAGGTCTTGGGTAAGCATGTGGCTCCGACAGGTTGCGGAAGAATCGCTTCAGGCAGTTGGGTGACGCTCGTGTTCCGAGTATTCACCGTCCTGCTTCAGGAAGACACCGTGCGCGTCTGCAAAACAAGATGGGGCTCAATTACGCAATCGTCACATTTTTATCGGACGCGTCTGGCAATAAGATAAACGACTCAGTTTTTTGACTCGACACATTATATCGTGACGCAACTGCAAAAAAATGCCCCTCCGTTGCACGCGTCTGCGATCGACGTTTTTATCGCGATGTATTGCGCAAGATGGCACCAGTTTCACGCCTTTAGCAGATTGTTATGGACAAGAAATGGCTGCTGTTGACGTTTGTTGGTCATATTCACAAGTTTGCAATGAACGAACCACGGTATAGCAGAAGACTAGCTATTTGTAAGGTTACAATCTGCATGCGTCAGACAGTGATGAATCGCAGTGCGCACCTTCGTAAAACTCGTTCAGCAGACGACTGACGACAGAGTCCTGTCCGCTCTTCCTGTAGATGCCCTCCGACGACAGACCTGCGGAGAACGCAAGCGAAACGCGTGTGACAAGTGAACGTGCATCACCGGCTACAACGATTATCACGAGTACATCACTGGCAGCGCAAGAGATTTATTCAGTAGAGCACCGCAAGAGATTTATTCCAGTAGAGAAGGAAGGAAGGAGGGTGGGGGAGGTGGGCTCTAATAGCAAAGCAGTTTTTCAGGTCCTTTGTTAACAGTCAACAAATCCATGTTTAACCCTCCTCTTGAAGGTCAAAAGGTTAGCAGACACTTACTCTTTGCCCATCAGCGGAAAGTACATTTTATGGTCCTTTAAATAAAGTGATAGAGATGGTAGGTCAGCACTGAAACACAAAAGTTTTGCACTCGGTCTCCGTTAGACCATGTCCTCAGAAAATGTCTGATATCTGACCATTCCCCCACTGCCTTTTGACCTCCAATTTGGTGCTGGGTTTCCTCCCCATCACACTATACACCGAATATTAAGAGCGTAGGTCAAGCCGTTGAGATTTGTGCTGCAATTCCGTATTTCCTCCTATACCTTAAGTTAAGGGGGAAATATTCCCCCTCCATTGACACATCTCGACCATTGACCTTTGACCCCAAAATTCGACATCCCGAGTCCTTTTCGCTATCCCCCCCGACGTTCCGAATATCAAGACCGTACGTCGAGCGGTTAAGATTTGTGCCCAACTGTTGACGGACGGACGGACGCACGCACGGCTGGACGGACAATCATGCGATTCTACAAGCAATTTCTCACAACTTTACGATGCAAAATTCTCTCGAGAGTCTACGCGAAAAAGTTAATGTTAAGACTAACGCTAAGACTAATTTTGTTTCCGGAGGCGCGTAGCTGGCCACTCACCGTGGACGCCGATGAAGTCGAGACACTTGGTGACAATCACCGGAACGTTCTCTTGCGTCAGCTGCTGATCCTCGAGTACGCCCCGCCTCACCTGCAACGCAGAGCAGACGCCGGTTACGACCGCGCTGCCACCTGGTGATACTTACGCGGTGATTACGTTGTTTGACGGTCTGTGCTACACACCAATGAATGAATAGCACTCAGAAATAATATTTTAAACATTTATTAAAAGTGATAGATAGATATACAGACAGTCAAATAGACAAACAGACAGATAGGTAAACAGAAGATAGACAGACACACAGACAGATACATAAACAAACATATAGATAGGGAAAGAGAGATGATTGTAATATTAGTTTTGTCATGAAAGATAAACAAATTACTATTATTAATTTGTTACTTGATAACAATTAACAATGTTTTTGTCCACAACCAACACAACCCGCCCACCCCTCCACGTGCGAAAATACATAGTCCCCGCTGACTGGCTGGAGTAAATTGGTCCTGAGCACTCGTAATGGCTGATGCTATAGCCCAGCGGCAACTGTACGCGGGCTATAGTACTAGAGCTAGCATGGAACTATCTTGCCACACGGTAATAAGAGAATCAGTTACTTGTGGTTAGCCAGCTAACACTGTAATCACAGCCAGTAACACTGACAGTGTTAGTATTAGTAAACACCTTGTTTAAAGTGACTATGCCGTATGCGTGATTGACCATTCATTCAATTCACTGTAGTTTACCAATACCATTTTTCTGTGAACTCGTCTTTCCCTATCCATCTCTAGTTGTAAAGTGGCTTATGCATTTAGACTCTACCCCTGCATCAATGCCACCATCTCATTTGCTTACACACAAGTGACACAACGTTACATGCAGTGTAGAAGACAGTTTATTGAAATCGACACGCACTGTGACTGTTTTTATTAAAAAACGTCACAACCTACGACTTCTAGACTAATGACGAAAGTGACAACACCTACCATTTTCATACAGTTGAGGGAAGCCACGTTTGCCGTGTCGTATGCAATGTTAAAGTCAATAAATCACGTTGTTTGTTTACGGAAATTAGGCATTTTCTACACTGTCACATATTGATATATAGAAATTCTGTTTACTCCTGCAGGCAACCATTTTGAATATTATGATCACTTGCCGTAGTTTCATCTCGCGACAGGGGTTACTTCCGTTAATCATCATTATGGATTATGTGCTGCCAAATATATTGAGATTAATTATCTAACCTGACAACATTGAAATATTTTATATGCAAATTCAATAAAATGCCTAGCTATGAAATATTTTTAGTTATCATGACGTAAAACAACTGTAAACAGTGGCTCCCTCTTTCTGAATCGCCATTGCTTTCGGTTTGTGTAACTTGTGTTATCTGTCAATAAAAGGGGGAAATTAATAACTATTTAAGGTAAAATAGTGTCTTATAGTTTCATATTTTTAAATATAAAGTGTGACTGTTCATATCAGATCTTTGTTACTGATGAAATTATTCACGCTTGTTATTGCTAGTGAGTAGTGTTGGTTGCTGTTACTGTTAGTGTTACTGTTTTACCACCGAAGCAACTCGGTAGCACATGTTCATACACATTGCACCGCTGTACCAATCTCAGAGTCTGTATTGACTCGTTGATCGTTTGAAAGAGGTGCTGGCGAGTATACAAATGATACGTATTTTGTAGGCATAGTGTAAAGACCAGGCAGAATGACGAATTCCAAGGGCTATCGCCGTGGCACACGGTACATGTTCTCGCGGCAGTTCCGCAAGCATGGAGTTGAGCCGCTGTCAACATTCCTTACTGTCTACAAGAAAGGCGACCTCGTTGACATAAAGGTAAACGTTTGGAACTCGTGCTGTAGTATTCCTGTGAGCTAGAGCAAACACGACCATTTCAATATCGGCGACAGGTGGAGTTTGTTGTGCATGAAGTAATGAATGTAATGAAAGTAATGCCTATGTGTATTTTCTTTCGTTCTTTTATGATTTTGGAACTAATAAGAAGTACAATATGATTATGAAGTGATGGGTATTTGTGTGGAATGCGGTTTGGTAGCATTCGTTATAAATCCAGTTTCTAGAAGGTCTCACTTTAATGTTTTGCAGGGTAATGGTTGCTTTCAAAAAGGCATGCCACACAAAGTATACCACGGCAAGACGGGCAGAGTATACAACATTACCCAGCATGCACTAGGTGTCATCGTCAACAAGCGAGTGAGGTGAGCTTTTATCTTCTACCATCAAAATCTCTCATTTTTAGCTCACCTTGACATCGTCAAGATGAGCTATTGCCATGGGTCGTCGTCCGTCGTACGTCTGTCCATCCTTCCGTCAACATTTGGCTACGGTCAACGATAACTCAGAAACCGTTTGACCCACATGGCCACGGCAATTTTTTGGCAAAAATGGGAATTGCCATTAGTCATTTCAGGTTCAACGGATTTTGCTCATTTTTGGTATTTAAATAAATAAGGGCCAGGGGTTTTGATATTTAAAAATAAAATTATGCAAATTAGGTAGGTTTTGGCAATTATATAGCATATTATGTTATAGACACGCAGATATTTAGGTGTAACGCCATCACTCGCCCACATCTCAGACTTTCTCATAAAAAATTACACATATAATTATCAAGAGTATATAATGGGAGTTCTCCCATATATACTCTTCGTTTCTATAATGTACGCCAATGGTTGCTCAATTAAAACTGACTTCTTCTCACTCACTCATTTGTGTCCTTTTTTGTGGTGAGCTACAGTGTCATTAACACTTTCATTAAATACATTTTTAATGCATTATTAATAAATATACTTTACGTTAAATACTCGGAAAAATGACGCACATTGTGACCAAATGATGTGAAGGGTTTGTTAATTGGGCGGCGTGTTTACTTTCTGCCGACAGGGGGCGCATCATAGCAAAGCGCATCAATGTGCGAGTGGAGCACGTGAAACACTCCAACTGCAGACGGGACTTCTTGAGACGCGTTCAGGACAATGACGTTGCCAGGCGGGTAGCCAAGGAGAAGGGATCCATCATCAAGGCAAAGAGACAGGTGAGTGTACCTCTCTTTGCTCCAGGTCAGGTGCTACAGGGATAGAAGGGTTCTTCTTGTTTCTCATTTCCTCAACAACTGGTGCATAAAGCCTCTGCCTACCTTCTGTGTGAATCGTAGTTTGGTCTGGAGGTTAGTTTCAGTAGTTTGTTGGCAGACTGGCCAGATCAGTTGTAATTCTTTGTCCTTTTTTTCTCTAATGTTAAGTGGAAGACCACTTAGTGTGTCGAGTGATTTAGTTTTCTGTGTTGCAGTTATATTATTAGAGGGAGCTGGGATAAACACTTATCAATGTGTCATTGGTAAATAAATGCCAGGCCATTCAGATTTATAATGAAGTTGATTATTTCGATTTATATTATGAAACGAGTCCAGTCATGGTGACACCTTCCTCTAGAGTATTTTATAACACCCGTCTGCCAGTGAGGAATGTGAAGGGAAGCGAACAGTTTTTACGAGTGTGTGCGGTGCTGATGAAACCCATTTTGTCCCTTTTAGCCCAAGGAGCCTCTCGGGGCACATCACGTGCGAACAAGGTACAACAAGCCACAGCTCCTGGAGCCAATCCCCTACGAATTTATTGCATAAACGTGTGGCTGTAAAAAACGTGAATTTGTACTGATAATGTGGAATAAAGTAGGACTGTGAACAAAAGTTGGCTCCTGTGATTTTCTGTTACCAGACGATAATGGCAAAAACCTTTCACTATTTCGAAAAATATGGCATCAAGTAACAAATTTTCGTCTTTCATTAATTTATTACATGCACAATAATGTAAAATTGATAGTTTTTATTAAATAATCACATGTAGAATTGGTTACATACTGTACACATAAAAATAATACTTTTGCTTGCATGCTCCACATACTAACCATGAACTTGCAATTGTTACCAGTAAATTTTGTTGAAAACTGAAATTGAATCACGTGTGTGTGTGTGTGTGTACATGCACAACTGGTGTGTTTGTGAAATGTTTAAAACAGCCTGTCTCCAAGTACCAGCTAGTCCGCTTGTTGTAGCGTTGATAAATCATTACCTGTTTACAAGTACTAGAATGTCACCAGTATACACTCAATGCCTATCACTGTATGACTAATTTCTGTGGTTTTCCATCGTTTTTCCACACACAATGACAGTTCCTACTCACTCGAGATAGATTAGATAAACCTGATCTAGAGTCAAAAACAGATTCCTAGTATCTTTGAACCCAAGTAGATTAACTTTTGACCCAAGTCGAATCAGTGAATTTATGCGAGTGTTTTACACACTGGAGAATCTGATACACAGCAGTATGCACAATTTGTCCTGCAAATAAGTACATATGAGCATTGAAATTCTTTACACTGGCTCTTCAGGCCAGTATAGTCACAATGACAGCCAAACGAACGCATGCACTTAAAGAATCGTCTCGCATAAATAAAAAATACATGTAAAATTCACAAGTATACGTACGAAAATATACTTTCCTGGAACGTACTCTGAAAATTTCCAAATATTGCAATGATGTCTCCATAAGATAAAAAAGCTACAAATCCTTTCGCAGATAGCACCCGACTTGCGATCATACGTCATGGTGCGGACCAGTCGTCTTAACGCGCAAACACTATGCATTCAAATGTCAATGAGCTTTTCTGGTGGCAGCAGGTCACGTGGATACTGCAATAGAGGCAAAAGGAAGCAACTCTTACATCCTCCAGGGAATAATCATTCAGTATATGGCAACACATCCTCACACGTCTGTTGGGTGTTGTGTTGTATTGAAAATGCATATGAAATTAACGTCTCCATTATTTCTGACTAGTACATTATTTCTATTGTTGTCCCAACCTTTTTAAGCACTCACTAGTATTGCTGAGACTCAGAGGGTCTATGTCCCCCAGGGTACTATCGGAGGGCACCCTGGGTACGGTTCGATATATCGGAACGTACCCTGGTACTATCTAATATGCCGGACCGTACCTCGCCTACTCCACTAACGAGTCTAGGGAGTCGCTTACTCCCTAACCCTAACCCTAACCATATCAGATAGTTACCAGGGTACATTCCGATATATCGAACCGTACCCTGGGGGACATAGACCCTATGAGCACTGGTATTCCTTGCGTCACAGGCAGTGTCTGTAATAAAACTAATACTGGAATGCAAGAAAGGGAGCTACTGAGTTAGTTGATATACTGGATATACAGCACTCACCTGTCCAAGCAACATGGCTGCCACCCACTTATCCCGTTCCTGGGACGACAGGCAGGATATGACCTTCCCAAATCCTTTGCTGGCCCTGACAAAGGTTTAATTGGTGACTTGTTATACACTGATAAAAATTTGTTAGTAGTTTTTGTCGGTTATCAGCCAACACCGAATGGCATATCTAAACATCTACTCAGTCTGCAGTAAATCTAGTCGGTAGACCAAGATGATGGTATAATCACCTGTTTTAGCGTTGGATACTTTTATAAAAATTATACGTGCACCCTTGTTTAGTACTGCGAAGTATGAACCGGCTTGCTGCATATAACTCATACCGAAGATTTGCGCCTTGACCTTTTACCAATTAAAAAAAAAAATTTCTTTACCCAAATGTGCAACAAGTGCTAAAAAAACCCAACAAAGGCTTGGTGTGGGCAGCTAGTTATTTCAATGCCGTAAGCTGTCGGGAAATACTTGCCACTGATCATGTTTTCTTGTCGCATCAAGCTCCAGGAATGTGATTGGCCACCTGCACATAAATCAGTAGTTACAGGAATCAACCAGCGACCAACAATAACGATTTCAATAACAATGTCCGAGATTTTAATCGGTAGTAGCCATGGATATTCCTTTTCCTGGAAACTGTGCAGAAGTTATGCAAGGCCTAGGGCACCGAAGCTCATACATCACTCTGCTTCCAGCTGTAAATACGACACGCTTATAACTTTTAACAACGAGATGGCAGACACATACTGAGTGGGCGGAATTCGACTTTTCTCGGCACCGATATACCACTTGATGTCCTCTATGTTCCACGTTCCTAGCTTGCGTTGACCCTGTCGAATACACACACGTATCAATTACCACCGATATATCTGCGAGCGTATATCCACGTATAGCCACTTCATCTGCATCAAGGATAACTCGCTACATCTGCTGCTGCCATCTACGGGCGAGAAATGAAACTCACCTCAGCACTCTTGTAGATGGTGAGCTTGGCGTTGCTGAATTCGGCCGAGGCTTTACGAAACTGCTTCAGTCTATCGCCGTAGAAGATCTCACTGAACAGCGAAAACGGCTGCTCCGCCTGGTGAGCAAATGCAGAAACAGTGCATCAACGAGATATCGACAACTAAAACATGCTCTTCGTGTTTGCAATGCTGGGCTTGTGATTTTACCAAGAGTCTCTAACTAAATTCTAAAATGGGCTGCATGGTGTCTACACCCTAGTAACTCATCCTAATAATCAAAGAATTGTGTGAACAGTAAACCTGGTTAATCTAAAACGAAGTCCAGCTACAACTAGGGCAATTGTTCAATCTAGGTGCTATGACTACCCTACTTAGAACCCAATACACAAACAAAATGAGATTAACAATACAGTATCGTGGTGTAATAAAGATGCGGAAAGCTGCGAGACAATAAGCCTAGCACATGTCTTCAGTTCTTACGAGATTCAGAACGCCCCTATAGAGAGAGTTGGGCTTGATGCAGAGGGCGTTACTCTCCGAACACGGAAACTGTGAGTGCTGGAGGGCAACCTCAAACACTCTCTCTGCATAATGTAGAGGGCGCTCTGAAAAGCAAAGCAAACTTTTTCTATTACAATTTGCGTGTAAATTTGTTTTATTCTTCATGTTCTTTCTTCTCAGTTTTTCCAACTAAGTACTATTATTTTCCATCATAAACATAACAATTGTTATCACCGTCACGTTATCTTTGTTTTATGTTGTTTTTACAATATTGCAAGTAACCGTGGTAGCGTACGTGTTTGATTTTTCTGTTTGGTAAACATGTGATACTCACGTAGATCTTGGTTACAGATGATCTCATAAACTGACCACTTGCTGTGGTCACCTGACAACCATTTTCTGTTAATAGCAAACTCGACGATCTCTTGAGCCGTTGTGTAGTTTGACACCTACAGAACATCAGAAAATAATGGTCACGTACACATTTCCACAGCCCTGTACCAAGTAAATGCATCACTTCCTTCAATATATGTACTATTGTATGTACATAACTGTCATGTCGATAACGTCCAGCCTATATGCATGCAATGTATGCATTTCTACATCTAACAGTAGTCTGTAGTTTGGTAGCACGCAAACAATAAAAATATGAAAGGAAAATAAATCAATAGCTCACTTGTATGTTGTTTGATTCTCCTTCCAGGTTGTGAATGAAAAATGGAATGTGGAAGTTTCCCGCATTTTGAGCTTTCTGCAACAGACGTCATAATTTTGAATTAATCACCGGTTATTTTCAATCCAATTAAATAAACACCTGCACTAAAGTAAGCAACAGTAGTAATTTACTAGATATGACACTATGAACCATGAATGATGATCACATCCTCTAGCATTATCATTAGAATATTCATGGGATCTCGTCACACGATTTTAGACTTGCTGGCCACGCCCATCATTATCCATATTTGGGCGACGCCCAGCCTACCGTGGGTCACACAGCCGTGCGTATGCTCATATTTCCACACTATCGTAGCAAAGGCCCCTGCTGCTACCCACCACGCTCTGTAACTGCTGCAGCTCCTCCATCTTCTGGCGAATTATCATGTCCTTTTGATTTTCATTGGGATCCACCTGTTGTAGATTCGACGATAATGTGCCATTTTATTCTTAAAATCACTCGCACAATATGATGAAATCTGGTGATCGTATGAGGTAATTATGAGAAGGTAATTATGAGAAGGTAATTATGCAATGCACACAGAAATGGTTATAGCAACATCTAGCACTAAACTTAAAATATTATAAACACATGCATATGTGTATAATAACATTGCTATACATATACATATTATATATGTATGTACAGCAATGTTATTCACACTACTGCTTGCTGCCTACCTCAAACAGGTATCTGTAGTGAGAGATCAAATCCATGACAACAACAAGCTCATGCTTATCCGGAAATTGCTCGTCCTCCTGCAATGTTCAATGATGCAATTCTTAATTATCATTTGTGCAATCAATCCGAATCACACCAATAAAAGGCAGCAGCTGTAAGTCATGCTACAAACTGGCTGGCCTCCACTAAAGATGGCCGCCTTGAAATCGCTATAGACTATACAGTAGGTCACTCATGATTCATGTGTGTGTTTTACACATGCTTTTAGGATAAGTTAGTGTATGTCTCTTTAGAGTACTGCTCTCCGTCCATCTGTCTGTCTCTCTATCTCGTCACTCTCTCTACCCTACTTTCTCCCCTTCTCTCCCCCTCTCCTCTCTCTCTCCCCCTCTCCTCTCTCTCTCCCATCTTTCGCCCTCACTCTCTCTCTCTCTCCCATCTTTCGCCCTCACTCTCTCGCTCTCTCTCTCTCTCTCCTCTTTCGCCCTCTCGCTCGCTCTTAGCCAATCAATGTATGTCATCAGCTCTTGCTTCATGCAATCTCCGAAAAAAAAGGTTTGCCATCGATCCAGTATCTCAGCGGAGACACAAAGATTGCGGACACGTCGTACCTGCCGCATGCTCATGATGGTGGGCGAAAACACGACGGCTAGGTTCGTGACGGTCATGTGATTCTGGTAGCAGTTCGACACGATACTGAAACACAGACGGGTACGCACGCACACAGGCACGGCGGGTGAGGGCTGGTTGACACGGTCACTCGGACACAAATGCTCATGTGTACGGGTTAAGGGCTGGGTGTGTGAGCTTGCAGTATTGAGGGTCGAACAAATGCTCATATGTACACGTTAAGGGGCTGGGTTTGCGAGTTTTCAGTATTGACAGTCGAACAAATGCTCATATGTACAAGCTAAGGGGCTGGGTTTGCGAGTTTGCTGTATTGACAGTCGAACAAATGCTCATATGTACAAGCTAAGGGGCTGGGTTTGCGAGTTTGCTGTATTGACAGTCGAACAAATGCTCATATGTACAAGCTAAGGGGCTGGGTTTGCGAGTTTGCT